AACTCTGAAGTAAGTTGGTATTTCTGGACAAACTACAGAAAAGTCAGCTCTGCCAAGTGTCAAGAAAGCTGTTGAGTCAGTCTGGATTCTGAAAGTTCTGTGCTTTTAACATCTCAGTGACATGGGTAACAGAAATGAGTCCAGATAATGATTTCACTTACCATATGGAAATGAGGACATTGAATTTGATACAACAGCTTTGGTTACGTATAAGCAGCACTTAACACAAGCAGCAAAACCCCATCTTGTCCATTACAATTCAGCACTAGTCCACAGCTGTACTAGCTCAACATAGCTAAATTGGCTAATACTGTCATTTTATTGTTTTAGTTTGATTTTGTCTTTGGGGATTTTCTCTGAATTTGGAGTAACTAGTTCTATTAAAAAAGAATAAGCTACCACTTACCTCTCAGTGTCTAAAGGGAGGCTGTAAGAAGGAAGGAGAAAGACTCTTTAACAGGGTTTGTGGTGATAGCACACAGGAGAGATGGTTTCAAACTAACAGAGGAGAGATTTAGATTGGTTATAAGGAGGATGTTTTTTTTACACTAAGGGTGGTGCAACACTGGCACAGATTGCCCAGATTGGTGGTGGATGCCCTGTCCCTGGTGGCATTCAAGATCAGGCTGGATGGGGCTCTGAGCAACCTGATCTAGCTGTAGGTGTCCCTGTTCATTGTAGGGCAGTTGGACTAGATGACCTTTAAAAGAGTCCCTTCAAACTGAAGTGATTCTATGGTCCTGTGATTCTATATGCATACAAACACACAAATTTAACAAAAGAAGTGAACTCAGTTGTGTTTAAAAATAAAAAAAAAAAAGTTGTTTATACGCAAATGTGTATGTATAGCTGCACTTTTCAAATGCAGGTGAAATTGATGTTAGTCTAAATAGATGGGTTGTGTTAATGCAAGGTTTTACACTCTTCTGAATGAATCTATTTTAAAACAGGAGCCATACTGCATGACAGAGTGCAGATAAATTGCACTGACCTAAGCTGCTGTATTTTTTCAGATTAACCCTCCATCCTTCTTGAGTCATGTAATACAATCCCATTATCTTCAAATTATGTGCTCGGTTTCTATTGTGCCAGCTTCAGCTTGAGAGTTCTGCCAGATATGTTTCTAGTAGTATTTTAAGAAGGAAAGAATCTCTTTTAAATTTTATTTTAATTTGGAATTATGGAATAGATTGTAGTCCATGTTTTGCAAGGAATCAAGAGGCAGAAAAATACAGTGTTACTGTACTATTCCAGGGTTTCAAACCTGTGCAAAAAGGTGCCTGTGTCAGCTGTTCTGATCTTATTTTTTTGCAAAGGGATGTTAGAGGGATGAGTACTTTTCCTTTGCAATCCGTAGTAATCAAACTATTTGCAATATGCCAATTATAAAACTATTTTAACCTGTTTTCTTGACAAAGCAGTGGCAGGATGAAGGAGGTGATTATGACACTTGTTCCTCCAGAGTATTATACTCTTCTGGGTGAATGGGTATGGATGGACAACTCAGTCAAATACTTGCACTGTCAATAAGGAAATCATTATTTTTCATCTTAGCTGAGCAGTTAAGATGTGATCTTATGTCTTCCAAAATAAAACATCGTATTTATTGACCAGTCTTTGTTCCAGACCATGGAAGGATAGAAATAAACTCTATGCTACATGTTTGAAGGTCACTGTAGTAAGTCAGAGGGGAAAAAAATCCAACTATCCCAAACCTTGGATCAACAATTTCAGTATAAGAAGATAATACAAACTATTGCTATTTGGTAACACTATCTGATAGAGCAAAATCTCAGCTATAAAATACTATTTTTCAGTAGTCACAACCATTAGCTATGCATTTTCACCAGTGAAATTTTCACCAGATGAACAAGACCCTACGTGCCATGCTCATAAAAGTCTGCTGCAGCTGAGATGACCCGCTGTCACCACTGCTGAAATGCACCACTGTGCTCACATCCACTGTTTGGTCTCCATGAATGTTCAACAAACGTTGATGAATGTCAGTGGGTGCCATTTTTTCCACATGGAGGTATTCAGTCAGACTGCCCCTCTGCTGCCACCTGTAGCACAGCAACAAAATGTAGCAGAGTTTCAGTAGGAAGATTCGACCTCTATTGCCATACCAACATCTGCCTCTGACGTCGTAGGCCAATGTAATAAAATAGGAGGCATGACTTTCAGAGCAGCCTTTTTGTGTGAACTTGTCTGTATACACACATGGTTTTTCACAAGTTCATCATACTTTTTTTGTTGTTACAAGGAGCAGCAAGGGCAGCTTGCTGTGAGCCCTCAATAAAGGGAAGGTGACGTGAGGGCGGACAGGCCCAGGCAGAGACCTCAGTTCTGAGGGGCGCTGTCTCATGCTGCCTGAGTAAGGAGAGCAAAGCAGATCTGCTGGCAGTGGCCAAGCTCAGCCACGAGTCCAGCTATCACCAGCCCATATATAGCAACAAGGTAGGTTCATGCCTTGTAAAGAGTCAGTGGGTCAGAGTTGCCGAGAGGGGCGGGCAGACAAAAGTGTCCATGTGGGGAGTTTGAGGCTTCTGTCAGTTCTTTCTCCTACAGCTGTTGGGCTGGGTAGGAACAGAGGGAAGAGCCTGCAGAACTCGGTGGTGCACTCAACCTTGTGGAAGAGTGTAGTTTCAGGTGGTCAAATAGGACTCACTGCAAAGCCTGTCAAAGTCATTTTGTTTTCATCTCCACTGGGATTTATCAGACTTGATCAGGTTTTTAGTTCCTTTGCTTAAGTTCCTTTTGCTACTTGTAGTGCCAATATTAATATTTTTTTTTTTCTTAATTGGGAATTACCATTTTTTTCACTTCCTATTATTTGATTATGGTATGATATATATGTTATGATAGTGGAAAAAGGTCAACAGAAAGCGGGAAGGTAATCTCCAACAACACGTGACTTGTGCTTTAGGCTATATGAATAGGAAGCATCCTAAATAAAAGACGTTCAGTAGTGGGACGGTACCTCACTCTGAACTGCACAACTTTTCCTCTCAGTTGACTTGAGAGCAGAATTTTGTGTTTGGAGAATGATGGCTGACAAGATCCGAGCCTGTTGTAATGGATATTGAAGACGTGAATGAACAATGCTGTCCTGGGGGCACAAAATTTCTCAGAAAAAATTCTCATCAGATTTTAGGGCCCAAAGATTTGAATTTTAACAATTTGTGGTTAACAAGGGTCAGTTTTTCTGTTTGTAGGTTAAATACAACTTGTTCTTTAACTACTGATTCCAGGGTTCAGTGGATGATTTCTTCTTAAAAATGAAACAGGTGACTTTATTGAGATGTGAAGATGTCTGCAGTATCACCTATGCTCTCTCCATGATTCCTAGCCTCCTCACTTTAGAAGAAGCAATCATTGCAGGTAGTACCAACCACAGTGAGTTTGGGTCTGTGTGGCCTTTGCAGCAGGACACTTGCCTCTTTCACAGCCTCAGAAACACTTTTTTTGTGCAACTCTGGCCTTCGTTAACTTAGACACTTTCTGACAGCTTAATGTTTCTGAGCCGTTCTGTCCTGGCTCTCACCTCTTCTTTGGCTTAAAGTGGGGAATTTTCTCCTGGCTGGGTTTCCCCAGGCCAGCAGAGCTGTTGTGCTTGACTGTCACAGACTGAGCCAGAACTCATGCTTCGCAGGAGGCAAGACCTCATGGCTCCAAGGAGTTGGCTCCCACTTTGCTTGTGGTGCTGAGGTGAGCTGGAAGACAGCGCCTAGGCCTTGAGGGGAGCTGGCTCCAAGGAGGTAGCTTCCAGCTTCTTCTGCAGGCAGGCCTGCACAAAGCCGTGCTGCTTTCCTTGCCTCCAGGCCCTGGTCACGCCTGGGAACTGGCATCCAGCTCTCCTGTTCACAGACAGACAGGAGCCGAGAGTTTGGGTTCCTGGTCTTCTGCAAAGTGTGAAGGGAGCGGGAAGGCACCTCCTGGCCCTCTCTGTGGGTAAGGAGTGTCTCCTGGGAACCAGCTCTCCGTGCCTGCAGGAGCAAGCAGGAGATGAGAGCTGGCTCCTGGCTGACTTTGCTAGGGGGCTCATGCAGATATTAGGAAGGTATTCAGCAGCTGGGAACCTTTGAGCTTGTCTTTGACAGATGTGTTTGCCATTTGTTTTTGGCTGAGATGACTTCTGCTCTTGCATTGAAGTGGGCTTCACTGTGGGAGAGACCTGTCTAAGAGGCAGGTACTTCCTCAGATCTTGTTGCTGTTTTTGTGACTTAAAATATGTACAGTCCAATTCCAGCAACATACTGCCCTTACAGCTGATTATACAAATTGATGACTTTCAAACAGCATTTGTTCACCAAAAATGCAATGTACTACCAGAAAATCTGTTAAGCCCATAATAACTGATAGTTCAGTTAGGTTGCAAGGCTAAACTATCAACCTTGCATTAAGGTGTAGTTTAACAAACTTTATCACGCTGCACCTCTTAACAAAGCAGGGTCTGTTTGTTGAAAGTTGTGATAGGATTGTGTTCTATCTGCCATGTCCCTTCATCCCCTGATCCACATGTGATTATTCCTGTAAGATAACTGCAGAAAAGTGGATCTTGAATGCTGGTGTTGTAGTAAACTGCTTTGTTTGAATGTGGACAACTCTTAGAATAATACAAAAGATCATTTGTTGTTACCAGTTAGAAAAGATTATGTTGAATATTAGTTAGCTTTGGCCAACTTTTTATAAATTATCTTTTAATCCTGTCTTGCTTCACTTTGAAACTTTAGAATATTTAGTTGAGTCTCTTCTGATCATATGCTGGGCTACTCCACGAATAAGACTATCCAAGAGATTGTATTTATGAAGGTTTCAAAACTTTTCATTTACCATGATTTTGGTTAATAAAGAAAATTAGGTTTTCTTTGCAATATGTTACTGATTCATATGAAACAGTATTGCTTTCAGGTTAAAAAATATTGTGATTGTTTATCTTGTATAAATATATGCTCATCTCTATTGCTATTTTATTATTAACGTTTTTCTTTTCTTCCCAGAGGATGCTAAGCAAGTTTTTGGCCAGACCACGATTCATCAGCACATTCCATTTAACTGGAATTCAGAGTTCGTACAGCTGCATTTTGGAAAGGATAGAAAAAGACACCTAACGTATCCAGAGTTCACCCAGTTTTTACTGGTGGGTCTTGTACAATAAAGTTTGTCAAAATTAAAATGATTCAAAGATTGCAAAATACTGTGCTGCTAGGAAAGCTGCAAGAAAGACCATGTGGGCTTTTGCAATTGAAGTGCCAGATTTTAATATTGTTGATTAATAGGGTAATGTAATGGTAAAACAGCTGATTTTTGCCAGGTGTTTCTTTCTTTTTTTATTAATTGTCAGCGTGCAGAAAGTCATGTAGATGGAGACATGAAATCAAAAACTTCTACCTCAGATTTTGAAAACGTCCTATATTGAATGAGTCAAAGTATGGTATGTAACAGCATTGAACATTTTAGACCCACTGACAAGACTGATATTAAGAAATACTTGCATGTGGAAATAGCATGTTTACTAATTTAGTATTTAATTCAGTGTTGATGTCCAATAAGATAATGTTTTACTGCAAGCCCTTTCCACACATTTGTTTCCTTGTTTTCCTAAATTTTGAATTGAAGGAAGGGAAATACTACCTAGTTTTTCTTGAAGTATATAAAGAATAAAATGCAATCTTTCTTTTACAAGGAATTTTTGCCTATTCACACTTTGTGGTACTCTGTTAGAGAAAGCAAAATATTGTGCTAGTAAAAAAATAAACAGTTTATCTGCATTTCAGCACTACTGTCAAAAATACTCTGCAGTAGGAAAAGTGATTCTTGAAGTGGTGAAAGACGTGAGATTCTTATTTGTATTCCTTCTGAATACTTAATGCCTATATTAGTATTTACACTGGAGAGTTTTAAAATGGGAAACTGCTTGAAGACTGCAAGGTTTCTTTTTTTCTTGTTTACACAAGTGTGTTAGTTCACAGTAGGAGGTGGTATCATTTTGATGAGGAATAATTAAGCTAATGCTATTGAGACAAATGTTTCAAATTGACTTTGTAGAACAGAGCCTAATTAATTTTGTATGAAGAGGACGTCAGGTATCACATGATTAAGTTGTATTTCCTTAAGCTTTGTATTGACTGCTGCAAGTCCAAAGTAGCTAAGAGGTAGACCAATTCTGCGGCTGAACAGTAGGCTAGAACCTCTTTGGGATAAAAGAGTGAATATGTTGTTTAAAAAAAAAAAAAAAAGTAATGCTGTGATCTCATGATTTGGTGTTCCAGTACCTCCTTCCATGCATAATGAGCCCTGGGTACGTATCTTGATTTTGATGAATTACAATCAGCCTTAACTCATACACACACATGCATCACTGTGTTGGAACACAGCAGTCCTCTTGAGCCAGACAAACCTGTTGGTCATGTTCCCCATATGACAGAAAGAGGAAGGATGAGCATAAACATGGAGAGTAAGATTGATAGAAAGATTGATAGTTCTGGATATCCTATAGAGAGGTGAGTTGCATTGAGGAAAAGTTCTGTGGGTGGTTACAAAGTTGATCTCAGCACTAATGCAGACATCAGGGACTTTCAAGCAAGTTAATTGTCTGAAAACTGCTGAAACAAAGCTGACTGTTATCTGTACAGTTTGTTAGGATGCTCAGTCAGTCACAGATTGGGTACATCTGTTTACTAATTTTCTAGAACTGTGAAACTTTGAAACACATTTCCTTACTGACTCTTGCTTTGCAGCATTATATTATACAGTGAAGTTTGGGCACAGAAATGACTCTCAGCATAAATTGGAGAGTTAATATACAGAGATATATAAATCTCCCTTTAAGTTATGTAACCTTTGGTACTCAGCCTTTCTGACATTCTGCGTGTGCATGAGTCAGTCAGTCCCCTTGTTCTGATGTCTAGACCTTGCACCTTAGACAGCAGGAGAACACAGTGGATAGCAGATTACCTCTCTGCATTCCTGATTTATGAATGCTCTTTACATTGCTCTTAATGTGGACCAGATGGTTCTGTAAGGCACTTCAGGTACTGCTTTGTAAGTACAATGTAATTTGCCACTTCTAACGAAACGATGCACACAGAGTCAAATTCATTCATGTTGGATCCTATTATGCCACATAAAGTTGTTACATATTCATTATCTGTTGTAATGTTTGGGCTAATCATTACTTCTGGCAAAGCTGAAACTACTTGGAAAGGAACATTACTATATTTAATCCATGCGCAAGACAGATCTCTTCTGGCTTTAAATAAGAAGGGTTTTTGGTTGTGATTCTGGGTATATATATCCAGTCATCCCTTTTTTTTTTCTACAGTAACAGTGAGGTGTCCAAAAGTATAGCCTCTGAGGTACTTAGCTTGAATACGCATTAACAATCTATCTGCATCAACTGTGAGCTCAAGGTGTGTTGTTTTTCCCTGCTTCTAATTTTGCTAGCTTAAAATTAGCCCAGATATCTCTGCTACATATCAGTCACATCTGTATCTGTTTGGATATAGTCATGTTCCATTATCACTTAAATGACAAGTCTGCTTCATGAAGCGTAACATTGGCCCCTTTCCCAGCGTGTGAAATGTATTCTGCAGAATGGATTTTAATGTATGCTTCTATGTGGACTTGCTAATTCAATTTCCACATTATCTGGGAATTTATTCATGCCTAGCATATTAGTTGATGAAGTAGTACTCTTTATAATTGACACCCAAGGATCTACTCCAACAGAAAGGACTGTGCTGCATCTGATGCCTTGTAGATCCATTGGAATGGAACCCGAGCATAGTTTCTATCTAACTGGAAAGTAATGAAGTTTATAATGAGCTGTAACTGAAAGCTCAGATAAAATGTCTAGATGGAAAATAATTTCACAAACGTTCTGGTGCCAGCATGCCTACCATGATGTGCAAATTAATTTTTCACAGTCTTACTCGAGCTGAGGGAATTTTGGACTTGCATCATCAAAGGAGAAACTGCACTGCTTGAGTATATCTAGGTTTACAAAAAATCTAGTCAGAGAAAATTCTTTAGAATGTGTAATTCATAATGCAAAGCAATGAGGATTGTATTCTTTTTTAAACATGATCTGTCTCGGTAAGCAATATTGGACAGAAATAGGTGAAACAAATGTTTCTGGAGATTGTGGAGCGTCTCTAGATGTTACAGATTTGCTTTATTTTTTCGGTTTATTTTAAGGTGGCATTTTTTATATGACTGCATGTACACAGCATAGGTAGAGTTAAGAATATCTCATCAAATTTCCCTGATAAATTGCTAGTAGCTGCTGAGCCTCATTTTGAAGCACAGTTAATCATGCTGTGAAGTGTCTTAACTTTCAGAGTCCGATGGAACAGATGGCCTTTCTTTTGTGCTAAACACTTTAAGGAATTTATTGTGTTGGTATACAATATATAGTTATTAAAGGAGTGACATCTGCCTGTTTTGTGGCAGATTTTGTATGAGATATTTAGTTATGAGACTGAGTCTTGTTTCCATATAATGAATCTGAAAATTCTCACACATGTACATCAGTGTGTTGTTCACCTCTTGGGAATGTTATATAACAGAAGGTCCTTATGCTTCCTTCTGTGTGTGCAACTGGAACAAAACAGTGCTTTGCTCAGCTCAAAACAACCTAAGTAGCCTAAGAGAGCCTACCTTACCATGAAGGTGGGATGAGCCTTCAGTAGCCATTTGCGGTCTGCTTAAGCCATTTCATTTCTGAACTAAAGAGAAGATGTGGATAGAGAACTATGGAAGGCTGACCTCACCCTATTCAGACCTTTGTCTTGCTGTCTTTTTGCAGCTAAGCACTGTGTCCTGGATCACTTTGAGCATGTGGGATAATCCTCTCTAGTTAGTTCCACATGTACCAAGAAGATGGAAAGAAATCGCATAAGCAAGGGAAGAATGAGATCGTTTGACTCCTACTTGATTGTAGTACTAACGGCCTTTTTGTAATTATCTGGGTGATGACAACAAACATGCCCTTCACATGTGTCTCTGGAATGTGAGCCCTGCTTTCCTTCTGTGGCTATGACATTACCCCCACCCCAGGTCCTACCAACAGGGAGACATAGCTCCCAGCTTGCAGGCTGATGTGCACAGGTGGTAGCAGGCTGGACTTGTGTTCTGCAAGTGGTGTGCCAGGGTTTTTATTGCATTTTAGTGCTGAATTCTGCCAGCGTGGGACTGCCAGCAACTTCAGTGGTTAACATAAATTGAATGAGAGAGAAAAAGAGAGAGAGAAGAAAGCAGAATTCAGTTTCTCATGTAGTCCTTCTGGTAGATTCAATTTATTTTTCTTTAGTGATGCTACCATTAGATGACTTTTTTTTTTTTTTGTTAATTTGTTCATATTTATGTTCATTTTTTCTGTTTCCATCCACTAAGTAGTGAGTAGTTAGGAATGGAAGTTAATACACAACTCCTCTTCAGAGCTCTGTGCCTCCTGAATTAGCTGTCTGCCTTAAGCTGACAGGTTGTTTTGCATGGTAGTGCTCTTCACACTGTAAACCTCCCAGAATTTCTTGCTTTCAAACTCTGTTGAAACTGTAGTCAGAATTGCAATGAGACAGGAGCTTACATAGCTACATCCAGCTGGATTGCTCAGTTGTAACACGTCCACATAGGGGGCTGTAATGTAAAGGAAGTATGACAGAATTTAGACTGTAACACTTTGAATTATAACCTTCACAAGCATTTCTTATTAAAAGCAGAAATTTCTGAATAATTCTGTGAATGAAGTGCACAGTTGAAATAGTGATCAGTCCTTTCCTGTCTCTCCCCTTCCCTTTTACCTTCTGCTTAAGTTATTAGGAGTTTTCTTCATACCTTTTGTTTCAATAAATAGTGTTTTAATTATGAGTCAAGACTGAAATTAGAGAAGCTAGGAGACTGAAATGAAAAGACAAAAAATGGTTTGAATGGCAGCATGCATTGGTGGCTGCAGACTGGAGTGAGTGAGCGTAAGGCTGAGCGGTGGCTGTAGACGTCCTGTGGATGTGGACTTATGCTTGTTGGATTGGCTTTTGGCCTTTCTCTCTAAATTCCACTAAATGTTGCTGTAAGAAAAATACCAATTTTCAGGAGATTGTATTCTGTGAATACATCATGCTTTTGGTACTTGACTACTGCAAGTCTTGGCTTAACAGGACTTTGTGTGTATTTGCAAATAGAGTGAAAGTAATAGGATAGTGCCGTTGTCCACTGCAAGACTTGGTCTAGTACTGCTGACATACTTCTGCAGTGATTCCATTTCCTGAGTAACTGATTATTAAAATTCATTCAGACTTAGCACAGAGTTTCCAGTGAAGAAGCTTTTACAAGGCTTGAAATTGGAAGGAGGGACATGGTAATGATTTGTTTTGTCCCACTTGGTAGAGAAATACTGATTGGTAAGTCAGACTGCATGACCAACATGTAATTCTGGTTTTAGCGAGCTAGTAGAACTAGACAAAACATTGATATGTATTATTAAGTTACCATCTGTGCAGGATTGTTCCTTTTAATTAAAAGATAACAAAGTGTTCTAATAGTAATTTATGAAGAAAGGGCAAAGGCCACAGTAGAAAAAGACACACATTTTTGGGAGATATAAAGTCTTTTTTTCTGCCCTCTCATTTCTCAGCGTTACATCTGAATCACAAACAGGTTATGAGGTGGTTGCAATAGATGATGCTTGTTTTAGGTCTCTGTCTGTTACTAGTGCTGAAATATGGAGAAGCAATCTTTACACAGTCTTGATATCAAGAGTTAAGTTAAACAGTGATTGTCTTTAATAGGTAAATAAAAATATTTTAGATGAGAATGCTTTTTGAGTGAGTACTTTCAGGATTATTGAAAGTCATTGCAGAAATCTCTTACCATACTCTACCAGCAGTGAAGAGTTTTACAGAACATATTTTGTTTTGTAATGACACACACAATAAACTGGATAATGCACATCCTGGAACACTTCAATGTTCACACATGGGAGATTACCTCTACTGGTTTGTTGATGTATGCCCTCTGTTTCTCAGTTTGAACAGCATGACTTAATGCCCACAGAGCAGAGAAGTCATGGCTGTTGTTTTTGGTACTGAGCTCAATGACAGAGGCCATTTATGCTACAAATGGAAAAGGCAGAGAGCTATACATACTGTATCAATTGAAAGGATTACATGTAATCATGGTTTAAGTGTGAGATATTTTGTAGGATTGCATCAAATAAATCTGTTACGGTAATAATTCTGAAGCTAACTTTTTTTAACGTATATTTTCAGGAGATACAATTAGAACATGCAAAACAAGCTTTTGTGCAGCGAGACAATACTCAGGCTGGAAGAGTCACAGCTATGGACTTCAGGGACATTATGGTCACTATCCGACCACACATGCTGACACCATTTGTTGAAGAATGTCTAGTTGCTGTGAGTAGCTCTGGTAGCATCATTGGGAAATCATGGAATCCAAGATTGAGATCCATTTTTTATGTAGTTTGACCACTGATCCATGTTACAGGTGCATTTTTTTAAGCTCAGCAAAAATTATCTATGCATATGGAAGTTATCCCTCATTACAGAATATAAATTCTCAGCTCCACTGGTTTCCTGAAACATGAGACAAAGCAAGTAGATGGGCTATTGTGGGGCCTACAAATGTGGAGTTTACCTGACTATTTCTGGTCATTCTTTTATAGTGGGCTGTGTCAAATATTTTGGGTTAGAAACAACCAACCCTTTACATCCCATTTGGGATGTCATCCTCAAAGGACTTGCATTGCAATTTCAGTTCTGAGTGTCCAAACACCTGTGGCAGTGTAAGAACTGCAACATCACCCAAGGATATTCACTACTGACTGATTGTTGGTACACTTTAATGTATGCTTTTGTCAGCTTGAAATGCATTTTATTTTTTATTGGATGTTTTCTTGTTTTCTAGACATGATTCTATTTCTGTTGTCCATTAAGCAAAATGTTTTTGTTTTTCTGTAATTTTTAGTAATTAATTTTCTACCATTTCTCCCAAGTAAAATCTCTAGGTTTTTGTTTTGTTTTGTTTTTAAGAATGGTCTTCCAGCACACATAAGATTTGTCTTTCATGAACTCTGTTTCTCGGAGAGCATGAACTTCTGTTACAACTATCACATTCTAATACATCGTGATAGGCCAACTTAAATATTATTCGCTAAAGGGGAAAAAAAAAGGCACATTTGGTTTTGACCACAGTTTCTAATCTTGGGAATTTGTAGCAAGTCTTTCCAAGTAATCTGGAGTCTGGCTTTATCCAGGTTTAAAGAAGTCTTTTCTTCTTTGATTTGTAAGAGAGAATTCCAGGGAGATATGTAAAGTGATGAGAACTGCAAACTGGGCAGAATATTGGAAGAAGCATACAGTAAAAAGCATAGCCAGAAGACTTGTGGACTGACAATGATTTCTCAGACCTTCTTCCTCTCTTCTGTTTCCAATCTTGTTAGCAGCTTTCCTGGGTCATATGAGATTTTTGATTCTGCCTCAAGGTCAATTAAATTTTGACAAGCTTAAGCATTATTTTCAGAAATTTTGTAGTCCATCAATCTTGTACTTAGTGAACTGATCCAGTTTCTTTTTCTGTGTGTAGGCCCAAGACCACTTCAAAATAAAGGCTTAAGTTCGGTTCTCATTTGAGAATGAGCAGCTATGCAAACCTTGTTGTTTCCATTTGGTTTGACTGCTGATACAAGCCTGAGAGCTTACTGCTATTTTTTCACAACTTGAAATGCATGTGAATTTAAATGTTTGAGTTGACCTCTTTCAAAATATGTTTTGATTTTGTTGAGATTTTCTATATAGTAATATACTTTACATGTAGAAGTAGATTTCCTCATTACTAGAAATAAGCCAACTTATAAAACATTTCCAACTGAAACAGCACTGAAACTTGAACTTTGTAAATTACTACTGGTTATGTTGTTATAATCCTGCATATGTATTTGTTTAGGTTTGTAGGATGGGGAGAGTTTTACATTCTGGTCATGATTAGTTTCAGTAACGTAAGAATCTTTCATAGTGTTCTTTATTTTACATTATTTAAAAAAAAAATCCTTTTATACCCTCACTCTTGTAAAAATAACTTTGTTTGAAAATCTTTATTTTAAGATTTTTCTTAATTTAATAGCACTCTTTTCTGCTTTTACTTTCTGCATTGTAGGCTGCTGGTGGTACCACTTCTCATCAGGTCAGCTTTTCCTATTTTAATGGATTTAATTCTCTCCTTAACAACATGGAGCTCATTAGAAAGATCTACAGTACTCTGGCTGGAAATAGAAAAGATGTGGAAGTCACTAAGGGTTTGTATAAATGTTTGCAATCTGGAAATTTCCGTGGGCATTTGCTTTGGGTGGGTGGAGGGGAAGATCTCCTCTGTATGCTTTTAAATCAATGGGAGGAAGAGAAAGCCTGCTTTGTTAGTATTCCTCGGCACACCATTCAGTTTTGTACGCTCCTGTTGGAGTCCACCCTCCAGGTTTTTCATTTTGTTTCAATCAGAAGAAGGTCCCAGTAAACTGCCAGTGGGGGCAGGGTGAGGAAAGTATGTAAAGATATTTAAAAGTTTAAGAAAACTTCCTAGGACTCCTGCCAAATTGGCTGCCTATTAAAGTGACCTTCAAGGGTAGTTGAAGAATTCCATAAACTTGTATTGGCAGCACAGTAAGCCGATCGACAAGCTTGGAACAAGATGTTATCTGCTATATCTAACCTCTTTATAGAGAATTCCCTGTGCAGTGCCAGAGTTTCATTAATGTGGCCTACTGGGACTATGCATAAAATGTTCCACATCTCTTAACTCTTGATTTTTTTTCTTTTGCTTTTTTTTCCCTGTGACCCACAACTGATTGATACCGTATGTCAAATATCCTCACTCCTACCGATAGTACTCAGCTTCAAGACCAGAGAGTAGTACTTGTTTACATGGTGGATATACCATTTCAAACATACATTTATATAGTGGCAGGAACCCTTTTATGGTGGGTCACTTCTTTTCCTTCCCTTTCTCTTTTTCTTTTCCACTATTAGCATCTTCTGCTTAATACAAACTAAGCGTAAGGTACTCTGGATTACTTGTATCTGGTTTGACAATTTTTGTTTCTCTTCTGTATTTCTATTCTCTTGCAGAGGAGTTTGTTCTGGCAGCTCAGAAGTTTGGTCAGGTTACACCCATGGAAGTAGACATCTTGTTTCAGTTAGCAGATTTATATGAGCCACGGGGGTAAGTGAAGAATTGTCTATCCTTCCCTTTTTCCCTTCCTCCTCTCATGTTTTCTGAAGGAGGGGGAGGTGGTGGTAGGGAACAGAAGGGTGTGGTATAGTGGTCAAATGCAGATAACTCCTTGTGATCCAAAAACACATCTCTTAGCAGTTGCTAAGCTGAATTAATTTCCTCAGGCGTATGACATTAGCTGACATTGAAAGAATTGCTCCTCTGGAGGAAGGAACGTTGCCCTACAACCTGGCTGAGGCTCAGAGACAGGTAAGAAAAGGAACCAGTAAGACGCTATTATGTATTGTGTTCTGGTTCCGGTGTTTGAGAGAGAGCCTACATCCTTCTGTGTTCTCAGATTACTGAGTTACTCTACAGTATCTGTGAGGTGTATCTTCTTGTTAGAATTCAGTTTTTAAGATGCATCATGCCTTTTTTTTCTCATCTCTGTGCCCATTTCTCTTGGGATGCATTTTGACTGGTTAAATGTAATTTACTTTGGAAAGATAAAAATATATGAGTGTAATCCAGCCATTCAGTAAATATTAGATGTATACCTAATTAAATTGTTTATGTTTCATGATTCTGTTGCTCTCTGTTCTTTTTAATGAGGAAAGACTTCCTGCTTGAGTATCGATAGTAAATTCAGCATTTAGCATATTAAATGGCAACCCTTGTTCTGAAAATGCACACAGGTTCAAGGTTTCAGAGTATCCTCTGCTTTGCTCAATGCTCTGCTGAGTATGAAAATAGGAGGGATTATGTTTAGCATACCATCAGTTTGAGTAAAATCATAAATATTCACTATATAACCAAAGCCCGAAGGATATTGACTTTCTCCTGGTGGTCTAACAAAATGAACTTTTGTTCTGTTAGAGGCAAAATGAAACAGGAATGTTCTTTAAATATCAAACTTACTGAGCTTTTAGTTTTCATGTCATTGTAGCATATGTTATATTTTTTAATGATACAAGTTTCTATACAGATAGATTTAAAACTAACCATCTCTGTTTCTCTCTGTCTCTATTTTAAGACAGTCTTGACTTTGTGTCTTGTGAAACCGTGGGGTTTTTTTTGTTGTTTTTTTTCCTACTCTGGGTCTGTGTGGAGACGCCAGTTTGACCACAATGGGTTGATGCAAGCTACATTTTTAGGGCTACCAGGCTGTAAGCCAGGCCTGTGTGTGTATGTGTATACACATGCATCTCCTTTGCTTCTCTTTCTTCTTCTCCTCCTTCCCCTACACTTGGACAACCCCACTGCAACTCTAAGACGGTATCTAGCATGGCGGTTTTTTGTGAGTTTGAGCGGTGACTAAATGTTGACTATGCTGGGTGAATTCAGATGAGTAGACTTGTAAAAATTGACCATCTATTCCTAGAAGACTCCTAAAGGATTTAAAAGCTTGGTCTGAATATCAAGTAACATAAGTTACAATAGGTGGCAGTAAAATGCAATTGTGAAAGGGAAAACTTCTTCCATTTTTGCTTTGGGGACGCTGTCTCTTAGTATCATAATAAAGTGGGATTATAAAACTGTTATTGTAGGAGATGTAAGGCCTCTGCATAATTTTGTTACACTCATTATTTTCCTTCATTACCTAGTGATTTTAAATTTCAAGCACTTCTGAAATTTGCTTTTCTTTAAGTTGAATCTGAACTCATGGACTGTGAGCAAATGAAATTGTAGGAGTGCTTTATGGAATCTCACTGTCCTTTAGCAAATGCTTGCATATGTGCTTTGATAGCCTGAGAAATAATAGGGATACCTATTTTATCCATGCTAGAAAGAAATTCCAAACTGGAGCTGCTTGTAGCTGTAGAAAATTCATGACATAAGGCATAATGTGTGCCCTGTTAGGTATGAATTTGAGTTCTTGATTTTGGAGTTGTATAATTTCTTGTACCATCAGTTTTTCTTGTTTTTTCTATCCCAAACAGAAGAGGCTATGCTATGTGACGCTTGGAAATGCGTGGATAAGACATTTTATTATAAAGACAAATTCTCCAGTGCATTCTGGGATTTCTACTAAGTATTGATAGACTTTCTGATCCTGAGATATTCTCTTAAGAAATGCAGTACTCTGATTATTTTACTTTTCCTCCCTTTTATTTTTCATCCTGTCTTGACAGAAAGCTCCAGGTGATGTGTCTCGACCAGTCCTCATCCAGATTGCAGAATCAGCGTACAGGTTTGCCCTTGGTTCAGTTGCTGGAGGTTAGTCATGGCTGAGCAAAGGAGTATTCGTCTTCACTGTTTTTCCTTTTGTACATTTTCCCCTTTCCCACTTCCCCTTCTTTGTGGAAGACTTTCCCATCTTTGCCTTGAAATCCCTTTCTAATCAATGTCACGCCTATAAGATGGCAGTGGAAGAGATCATCTGGTCTACAGTAGTTTTGGAATTTATGAGCAATTGGAGTTTGCTGGTGGTATTTCTACTTAATTTGTCACCAAAGCAGTTTCAGAAGAATCAGGTTAATAATGAAATAGCGTCAAGAAATGCTTTTGGTTGAAATTATATGTGGTAGTTAGTTGTATCCAGAACATGATATTGAGAAAAAAGATACATCTGAGCACTGAGATATATATGTGGAAGATGATAGTTGCAATCAAACACCACAAATGCAAAATCACTGTTTTCATATAGCTTGATTTTTATTTGCAGCTGTTGGAGCCACTGCAGTCTACCCAATTGACTTGGTAAAAACTCGTATGCAAAACCAGCGCTCTACAGGATCTTTTGTGGGAGAGCTTATGTATAAAAACAGCTTTGATTGCTTCAAGAAAGTGCTTCGCTATGAAGGTTTCTTTGGGCTTTATAGAGGTAAGTTTGAAAGGTGGCATATACTATTAGTATGTGAAGAATTCAGGAAAACTGAATTTTTAAGCCAATTTTGTTAGTACTTCAGTTTTGTCTGATTTGTACTTTTTCTTTATTTATACTCTTGCATTAATTTGCATTCCCTTTCTAGCTGGATGGTTGTGAACTTATTGATAACTAAAACATCACTGTAATGAGAACACTTCTGTGGGATCTTTCCATCTGCAACAGGGCAAGAATTGCAATTTCCTGTAGCAAAAAGTATATCTTTAGTCAAGTTTTCATCTCCTTAGCAGTCCTTAGCACCAAGAAAATTTTGTTTGGTAAAAAGTTAAGACAAATCATCCTCTGTTTGTTTTTGTTTTAATGTCCTTTCTCATCTATTGTCTTTCTATTAAAAGCATCTGTAGAGAAAATATAGTCCCTTGTTATTAACTAGATCTCCTTTTTGGTATTTTATATGACAAATCAGGTCTCTCCAAACCATTTCCATGTGCTTCACTGATCATTGGAAATTGATGAAGTTTTATGTATACCTCTTCCAAGCTTGTCAGTGTTGAGTCAGCCAGAGAGATGAGCTGGGATCAACTTAGCTTACTATATGTAGCCATTACTCCCAAGCTGTGAAATTAATTGTTCCATTCTCCCTCTATTGTAAATGGACAAAGTTCTGAAAGCTCACTTGCTCTGTCTGAGGTCTAAATCATTCTCATTTTGGACATTTTAAATAAGTACCTACAGTCAGATGACAGTTGTTTGTTGTTTTTTTGTTGTTTGTTTGTTTGTTTTAATTTTCCCCTTGTCACAATTGTGACATCAGTGATGTAAGTCAGAGGTAGTTAAAAGAATCATTAACTACTTCATAAGACTAGTTCTTCTCTGTCAAAGAGATAAATTGACTTATACTTCTACTATCTGAATTATTGAAGATGTTTCTCTCCCATCTGTGATGTTTGTTGGGGTGGATTTGAAATTTGCATTATTTATTTCATTTTTAGCAATCTAGCTTAAAAACTCCTTTTAGGCTTTTGAAAATAAGATGTATATAATAAAGAAAACAAATTTCTAAAAACAGTTGAGTCAGGAATGAGGAGTGGAAGACTAAATGTGATTAAGGCAGTTTTTTTTAGTAGGCTTAGTAATTTAATAAGGAGTATTGACAGGGTTTCTATTTTGTAAGGGTTTATAGCAGTCGTGATCATAAAAGAAAAAAAAATACAGCAAAAAAACAGAATATATTCCCTGCAAATGTATTCCATCTTCCGTTATCTTGAAAGAATAAACATGTAGAATTCCACAAGTCTTCACTCCTGTCATATATAAATTCTGAGGTATAGTGACTTTTTGCCTGGAAAAAAAAATCAGAAATGTCAAAATGTGGATTTTGACTCCATTTGTTTGTCATATTTTTAAAATGATTTTTCATTGCCAAATTCAGTCAACTTTTGAAGTTTCCATCTGCATTGCTGATCTTTCCATTCTCTGTCCCCTTTACTACTTTTCAGTCTTCTCAGGAGTACTGAATAGTGAAATCCCAGACCAAGTACCAGTTTGGTACAGCTGAACTTCTAAACCTTGGGCAATAATCTCATTTCTGGATTATATAGGAGAAATTGTGCAATAGAAAAGAACACCATTTCAGAAGCTGAAACCTGCATTTGTGCACATTCACTACCTACAGGGCAGCCTGATTTAACTTCTCTTTTAAAAGAGTAAAGTGGTGAAGGAGCCTTAAGAGATGTGACACGTTCTCTGTGCATTCCCATAATTGCCTGATTTCCATTACATGATTTTTGAGGAGATCACACTGGGGAAGGTTGAGCAGGCAAGTACAGAACGAAGGTTTCCAACTAAGCTTGAAAGGGCAAGAAAATTTAAATAAACATTTTATAGATAGATCAGTGTATTTACCCAATGTCATGCAGTAAAGTTAAGGTAAGAGTCATCTAATTCTGGTCTAAAATGTTTTGCTGGGTAAGACAAACTAGTAAACCACTCTTGCTGCTCACTGGTACTCTTTCTTACATGGTGTTACTTTTTATTTTTTTTTTGATCCTGCTGGAGAAGGGAGCAGTATCTGATAGAATTCTCCTACTACTTAACAGAACAGTAATGCAAGACCTTTGTTTTAGAACAACAAAAAACATGTAAAGATTTGTAGTGGTGGTCTGTTTGCCATACCACACTGCAAGAAAGCAAGCAGGAGTTACAAATCCTTCTCTGAACTGAGCCATTTCAAAGGATATTTTTAATACAAGATGCGTAGTTCCATCCAATAAAGTGAACTGATGTATTTCCTTATATTGCTATTTTATTCCAAACTTGAAAAGGGCAAAACCACCATGTTCTAAACCACTGTCTCAGATAAGGATAAATTACACCATCTTGTGGATGTAAAGAGAGCATGGAATTCTAAGGATAACCAACCCACTTCTACTGAGAAGATGCTTCAATTTTAAAAGGCAAATATGATACAAACCTCCGTAGGGTCTTTAATTTTTTAGTATCTACTACTTGAATGCTGTGTTGTTAGGCACTTTTTTTTTTTCCTGAGATATAATTTTTGTCTGTCTCTTTCTCAGCATGGCTTAAAACAATGCTCACCTTAGATATCTATAATTTAATGTTGTGGTTACACTTGTATCTGGAATATGTACTCCGAAATTCACAGGTATTTATATACATGCAAATATAAGAAAGGATTGGAATCTCTGATCAGTCAACATCCCTTCCAATTGATGAAATCATTTATATTTCTTAATAATATTTTAATTGCATGTTCACCCTAATGAGTCACAGAATGTTTAACAGTCTGAACCAGTGAGATTAAGAGATTATTTCATCTACTCTAGATGGAATTTCTATGGGAAATTTAAGTACCAATAAAATGCAGCTCACTGAATTGTTCAGTAGTCATGCATGTTAGTTAATGCACTTTACCTAGAGACTGAGAAAAGGGCTGTAGAAGACTCTGTTATCTATGGTTATTAGCTATTGAGAAATGTGTTAGTTTCATTTCTTCAGATGGTGCTTCTAACACTGCACTGACTACAGATGCCTTCTAATCTTAGATTTTAAAATTCATTCATTCATCATCCAATTTAACTATTATTGATGGACTTTCATGGAAGTAATACAAGACCATGGCAATACTTTCCTTTGGAATTTGCAGTGAAGTACCATTTTTGTAGAATGGAAGTGCAAGCAAATATTGTAATGTTTTGTCACAGCACAAAATATTCCTGAAAGAAAAACCTAGTTTGCAGTCTCATTAAACTGTGTTTAAATGTCAACTGGAAATTAATTGCCTAATTTCTTGTACGAATCCTGTAATAGGAAAATTTGGCATTATTCCGTTCACACTTCTACACCGCGTGCCAAAATAGTTTCAAATATTTAACCTACACTGAGAAGCTCCTTCATACAGTGGGTTTTTCTAACGTGATGGGAAAATCTCATCCATTACACAGTGTGAAACTGAAGTTTCACTGTTAGAAGACTGAAGAATGCTTTGGCCAAGTAAGATTTCTGCTCAGTACCGTCACCACAAATGGGTTGGATGAGCTTTTGTGTGTGTATTGTTTGGCTGTATTTAGGCTGTTTTCAAAAAGTAACTTGTACGATCTTGCAAACTCTGAATGCAGTTTCTGATGTTCTGTCTCACGCATAACTTCACCTTTCCAGAGAGTCACTGTGTGATGATGTGTCAGATATGAAGTAGTGTGTGGTAATTGCTACACAAGAGTTTTGGATATATGAAAATGGGTTGTATAATCTGTTTGCTGTATACTATACTAGCAGGCTGCCTATGTGCAAAATGTTATTCTGTAATAAAAGCATACATTCTTCAAGACACTGTCAGATAATTCTAACCCTGTCCTACATCTGTGCATGTGTCATATTGCTGAGCTGTTAATGCATAGTAATACTGAAAAATCCCCAGCACGTGAAGATAACCCCAAGAGAAAAATAGCGTTTTCATGTGTGTCGCTTGATATGCTTTCCTTCTTCCAAAACTTACCATCTTTATCATGCTCTGAACTCTTTCAACAGTGTTTCAGAGCTCCCGTCAAAAGGGTAAATAATAACAAGAATTTAGTTAGGATAATTGGACCACAAATGTACCACTCTGAAATAGCTTTGTTACATAGGTATAGAAGCAAGCAGAGTCCCTCTTCCTCCCTATGCAGCTGGCAAAAGCATCTTTTTAATCACTGAAGATATAAATTCATTAGACAAAATGTCTGTACAAAGCCACGTAAGTCCTACAGATGTAAATTTAGATTAATATAAGATTTACAAAGATAATTTGGTCTGCATAAAGTTAAAGCTGTAAAGATATCCTGTACAATGTATATCCTAGTCTTTTATTCGTAGTGCTGCAGAAAATGTAACATTTAATTACACAATGTTGACTTAATGTTTCCTTCAGTGAAGTCACCTAATGCACCTAAAACTGACTCAGAAATTCAAATTGTGAAATGTAAAGCAAAATCTCTTATTTTGAGGAACTGTACACAAACTTAGTACTACTGCATTCTTTTGTTCAAGTACTTAGCCTTACAATTGTGGTTTTCCACGAATCTTGGATAAATTGTAGGTGTATGTGTATACCAGAAATTAATCATTCTTTCCAACAATTTAAAAACAAAAATCCCAATACTGCTAGTGCAAAATTTTAAAGGCATTAGTTTATAAACACGACTGACTTTTTGGCTACCACAAGCCAAACAGTGCTATGCTCTGCCATCTTTTACTTGCTAAGATTATCACTGATAGCCAATAAAGCTGATAAATGGTACCAGGATGGAAGAATACAACATTGCGTGTTCATTTATGTCTTTCTTATTCTGATTTTTAGCTCTTTGGGGAAATGCTTTTCTGCAAGTGAGCTCTTAGAAGTGGGATGTTAGTTGTTGTCTCTTTCTCCAACATATTTGGAGAACTGTAAATGTCAGACTCTGTAGAAAGTACCCAGAGGTGCTGTCTAGGATTCTAAAGCAATGGGGTCTGCATCTAGCCTGTGTGATGTGAAGAGTGCCCTTGGCAACGCTTACAACACTGTTCTAGCCCCGGGCTTATTTGCAAAGCTCTGTGTGTTTTGAGGTTGTGTAGCCCAAACATGATACTGTCTGTTCACTTCAGGCAAGTGAAATGAGAAGTTAGGTTCTTGCTTTCAGTTCTATACTGCATCACTTCCAACAAAATAAATTCCATACCTGGGAAGAAGGTAGCATAATTTGTTCTATGAACTGGTGAGTTAGCTGGGCAGTATGCTCAAGAATGCAGTCGTACATGGTCAAATGTTTTACATTATTTTGATTCCTGTCCCCTTGGGTTCTACCTTCTAATGCCATTGTTTTTGTTGCCAGAAAAAAAAGTTCTGCGGTCATGATTTTTGAAAAAGGTATATCTTGTATCTTCCAGAATTTATTAGAAAGTCTTCACACATTTTCGTGTGGAGATGCAGAAAATAAATGTAAGTGTAGGACGGATACTGAAACATAGTTGGCAGATCTGTGTTGGTGCTTAAGTGTAACGTGAGCTAATATCACGGATTTAAGAAAGCTAAAGTAACTACAGTATATGTAGGAAGTTACTGTGACTTGAAGTGGTAGCACAGAGTTTGTTCTCAAAATGGAATGTTTAAGTACTCTCATTAAATATAATAACACAAAATTGCTGTAAAAATTGCCCGCTTCTAGGTGGTGATCTCTACATACATTTGTTGATTTGTTTAGTTAATACCAAGTTACTGATGCACTGAATTCTCTTTCTCTACCTTACAGGTCTGTTACCACAGCTATTAGGAGTAGCACCAGAGAAGGCCATAAAACTCACTGTAAGTTTGCAAATGGATTATTCTTGCACTTCCTCACATTTTAAAGTCCATCTAATTACAGTTAGCTTGTTAAGGATTTTTATTCTTTATGTGTCAGCTAGTTGATAAAGTGCATTCCATCGTTTTTGCTTGATAGAAACTTAATTGCACAAAGCAACTGTTTATATCTCACTTGTGAATGCTGCAAGTGGCATGCAAGTCACATGTTTCTAAGCGTATTTTAAGAATCTCACTGAAAACTTATTTTTGGATTGGCTCCAAAATATAACAAGCTTATTCAACTTCTTCATCTGTCTGCTTGTTTGTAACTAGTGCAGGGCTTTGGTTTCACCTCTTAGCAAGAATGAGTAATTATTTATTGAGATTGGAGGGCTTTTGTTTCTGTTTCTTCACGTAGTTCCTGTATGTTTAATTTTTGCACTACAGGAGATAATTTGAACATGGAGTGAAGTGTTAATAAAAAAGGAACTTGTTTGCGTGCCTTTTTTCCTAAATGTCTGTCTTCTGTAATTTTGTTATTTCTTGAATGATTTGAAAACACTGAAGAATTCTCATGATAGGCCGATCTTAATGCAATGGTTATTCACAAAAGCTAGTGAAATGCATTTTAAAATGTGAAAGATACTTACTGCTGTTAAGTGAATTACTATTGCATTAAAACTTATTACTGAACGTTCTGATATTTGTTTAGAACTATACTTCAATTTGCAAATGTTGTGAATATTTTAAAATCTTAAATGAGTTTATCGCTAAGTTTTGATAATTATTATTTTATTTAATTACCAATTGTTATCATTTTTCTCCAATGATTCAAAACTGAATGTTGCAAATCTTTGTTGGGAAGAAAATAATAGTGAATTTTAATATATCATATAAAATCTAAGATTTGTTTAGTATCTTTTAACTGCATGGATGTATTTGCATTTTCAGTTGCAAAAAAAGAGCATTTTCCCCAACCTTGTGATTTATTGGCTTTCATCAATGTTTGTTTTTTAAGGTTAATGATTTTGTGAGAGATAAGTTTATGAGTAAAGATGGCTCCGTCCCACTGGCTGCAGAAATTCTTGCTGGTGGCTGTGTAAGTATCTTTAATTTCCTTAATTTGAGCTACATGAAAGTATGGTGTGTAAGATGACCTATGTGGACTAAGGCTTCTGTTTAACCACAGATCCGGTTCAAGAGCAGACTCTACTAGAGCATCTCAGTTCTTTCCTAGATAGGCCAGCCACTCTTGATGAAAGGGTAAATGTATCTGTGCATCATGCCTGTAACTGCACTGTATAATTCTCACAGCTTAGTTTGTTTCCTTAATACAGAATCTGTCTTTGTGAGTGTTGGCTGTAGCTTGTGGCCTAAAGAGGATTCATGCTAACCTTTCCAGAAATTAATAATTAGCTACTACTTTGTGGCACCCACTCTGCCACGTCACTGCTTTCTTGATGTGTTATTGCGCCCACTAATTTTCACTTTTTTGCAGCAATACTGGCTGTTTGAAATGGCAAAAACTACTCATGCTTCCTTGAGTTCACAGCAGACGTAGGCTGTCTAATGTTAACTCAGTACATAATGTGTTCCTGAATGTAGGCTGCACTTAAAATCCACTATGTTTTTAAGATTGTTTTCCTTGCAGTGAGTGGTATCTTAATGAACAAGTGGTATATTCCTGGGTAAATGATTATACTTCACATTTTGGTCTAGTTCTGTCTGTTCATGTTACAGCTTACTTTACCTGGTGTATTGATTTTGTTCTAGCAAATGTAAATACGTTAAGTAAAAGGAATCGTTATTCAGAGACCAGTGCACTTTCCAGATAAAGAACAGTGTTTATTTAAACTGGCTTTGATCACCAGGGCATAGCAATGGTGGTATATTTTCAATCTATCTTTGTTTCTGCTGTCATAAGACAGATGAGGTCACATTTTCAAGCAGCTTCTACCCGTGTTGAAAACTGCATTGAGCAGCAGCTTAAAAACAAATTCGTGCATCTCAGCCTCAGTCGGTGCAAAGATCCATTCTGTGTGTGCTCACAGGGAGCATACTGGGGATTATCTCAGCCTGGGGTGCAGTGGCTTGATGCCTCATGGGCTGAGAAGCTCTGGCTTTCTGTAGTTCTCAGGAGATGGGGCAGGATTTGGCTGCTGTCTCACTGCGCCCTGTTTGATCACTGACCTGTTGTAGACTGCCAGGTAGGATCCCCTTGTTCTGTAACTCTAGTAGCATTCAGGGGAGAAAAAAAAAGAAGGGGGGGGGGGGGGGGAGAAGAATGTGGGGCTCTGAAGTCCTAAATAGAAAGCATGCTGTAAGTGAAGGGAAAATGCAATAAACTACTTGCGGAGTAAAAAGTATTTGCCCCTTACACTAATAAAACATCTTATGAACATAGCAGCCATAGAAACTCAGCAAAATTTTCATTTAAAATGTCATGTATTCTGGAGTTTTTATTTTTACAGACTGCTGTGAATTTTTTAATGCAGTAGAAAAAGCACTCTTTACAGAGACCTGTCATTCACCGGCAAGCTTTTTGCCAGCAGTTCATCATAAACCAGGGATCTGCTTTCAGAGATAGGTGGCTTGAGATGTATTTTAAACGTGCTGTAACTGTTGGCTCGTTGCATTTGGAATTCGAAACACATATGAAGAACGGGATGCTGCATGAGGTTCTAGCAGCAGACGTGCGGTGGCAGAATGCCCTGAGTTTCCTTTTAACTGTGAAGTGCTCCTTTTAACTTAAGGGCATAGTCTGGTGCCAGGCAGATAGGTTGCAACTTGTCTCAGCTGCAGGTGGTCTTTGTTTTTTTGTAATTTTAAACCGAATTCAGCCTAGTAACACAGACTGTCATTACAAGCGGTGCCTAGCTTTTCGAGGAAAAGAGATGGGTTTTCCTTTCATGATATAAACATATGCATAAAATGTGAAATGCCAAAGGCAGGTCTCTCCTAGAAGTTCGAATGTTGGACTGGCCCAACCTTTTGTCCCAATTTCAGTTCGTGTGAAACTTGTGCTTTCAGTGGAAGCAGCAAGGACATCGCTGAATGCTTTTGAAAATTTTTGGTCTTGGATTTTACCTCGTTTGAAAGCGTAGCAATCCTTTATAAGGGAGGCAAGGAGAGTGGAGAGTATGATGTGTTACAGTCTAAAGAGGGGCAGCCAGCTAAGAGGTGTTGTATGAAAAGAAACCTGCCCTACCACCTTTCCACTCTCCACATTTAGTTTTCAGCTGTGATTGTGTTACAGACACTGAGATTACATTTTCCTTTCTCCGTGCTTGTATTTCCCTGGAGCCCATTCATTGCTTATGCGAGGGTTTTGTGCTGGAAATCGTGGTAGATTTCAGTGCTTTAAATACCAGCCCCACGAGTTCGTTACAGCATTAATACCTAAGAAAGGGAGGACCAAGCAGATTCTTGGGTGTTTCTGGCTGTTCAGTAACACAAAGGGCTTTGAAGGGGTCAGTATCACCTGAGCAGCTCCACTCTGCTGTTCGTCCAACCATTGCCAGGCGTTGACTTTTAAGTCCCTAAGGAGCTCGCTTTGCATCATAATTACTGAGAATTAGTACACATGGCTGACTTTTGCACTTGTAACTAAAGCTGATTGTTTCATTGAACAAGTCTTTTTCTGTTTTGTAAACTGTTTTCTCTGCTGAAAAAAAAAAAAAAAAAAAAAAAGAAGAAAAGAAGAAAATAGATCTTTTACTCCGTGACCTGGTGGCACTTAGTTCAGTAAGCAGTGTGTTTCTTAGCTTATTATGTAAAGATGAAAGTGATAGATTGTCTGAATATTTTTTTTTTTTTGAGACCTCCAAGAATACAATTAAAAATACAACCCTGGTGTTTTTATACAGAATCTTAAGGAGGATTTCTGTGTAAATAGTTGCTTCAAAATTTCCATCTCCAGTGTAGGAATTTGTCTTAGTGACTCTACTGTTTGCTACCTGTGAAAATATATGGAAAGATTTGCTCAGTGCCTGACACCTACCATGAACGCAGGCCTCTGCTGTGTAGTTAGGACTCATCCAAATCCTATATAGCTCTTACCATTACTAGAATAGTGAAGAGCTCCAGTACTAAGATGTAGCATAATGATATTATAGAGCTATGATCTGCTAAGCAGCTAAACTACAAGTCTGACTTGGCCTCCTCAAAAGAAAAAGTGCAAAAATATGTTAGGTTTGATTTCAGCTGATACTGGCTGTAACTTCCCTTCAGGAAAAAGAATGAGTTTGAGGAATCACTAAATTCAGCTTGAAATCTCTTCATTTACAGTGATGATAATCTTGTAGTTTATGTAAGTCTTTGTTTTCCATGATCTTTAATTTATATATTGAAGTAAAGAATAATCACCACTCCTACTGATTTTTTATTACTTGCTTCTTTTAAACCTAATTTCCTGAAAAATGTCATTAAAAACAAACTGATTTATTTTTTTTTTTAATACAGTGCTGATTATTATTCCTATTTTGGGGTTATATTAGCAGATTAAAAGCTCTTTAAAAGTGGCACAGAGATTATTTTGGGTTTTTTTAACTGCTGCCACTTAGTTACTGCTAAGCTTTCAGATGAAACAATAATTTTACTTATTTCCATAAATATGAAGCAGTTCCACATTTAACTGAAAAATATGGTTTGTCTCTGGAATTGTCAGTGGAAGAAATGTGAAGATTCAAAATAGAGTGCTTAGAAAATGCACACAAAATATTAAGAAAGATGGAGGAAGTACTGTAGCACGGCTGAAAAGAAACAGCTTTTGAATATATGTGGACTTGTCTGCATATAGCAGTACAATTATAGAGGTAAATCAGAGGCCTGATGTTCTACAAGAAAAGGGAAAAACATTTTGCTTTGTAACCTTTCCTCCTACTCTCCCTCCTCTTTCCAAGTGCACAGTCTTTTTCTTCCCAGCTGCTCAGTGTGCACTCACTATTAGCCAGTTTAAGTCCTGTAGCACAGTACAATTACAGACCCCGTACAGATCTGCTTTTATTTAAGCTGTCAAGGCAATTATAGGCATATTTCTAGAGACTTTATAGCAATCACAATAAAGTTGAAACATAATGGATCTGCTTGGGCAACCTCAACTCTGCCATGGAACATAAAAATTAGATATGATTAAGATGGGGTTCATCTAGAAAAAGCAAAAACCTGTCCAGAACTGATTTTTATAAAGGAATATGATGTGAAATTCCAGATGAATTGTGTCCCATAACCAGTCCAGTGCAAGTAGTTTTATTAAGCTATTCACAGCATTTGTTTTATGTTTCAGAGAGTAATAAAGATAAGTCTACATCTGAGCTGCATTTTTCTCTGTCGAATTTTACTAGAGGCAGAGAGATGGACCATGATTCTCAGATCACTTACAGAAATTCAGACATTGCTAAGTTGTGCCTGAAGGTATCAATCATTTTTTTCATTATTCAGAAACCTAAATCTGACAAAATTCTCTTCGATTTGGCAAGGGACTCTGAGCTATGGATAAAAATGAAACTGAGCATTAAGGAGGCAGGGGGGCGGAATCTCTGTATGTATATCTGAAAAAAAGAATTACAAACTGCTATTGCAGAGACCAGTTTTGGTATACTTTATTGAGATGGTTAAGTAATAATGGTCTTCTTTATGATTGCTCATATTAGCTTTGAAAGCAAATGGCATATGTTTCTTGTATTCTTAGCAGATTTACTCTAAGAAGTCCATTCTCCCTGTAGCCAGAGACCATAAGTTCCATTTCACTTTAAAGGGCAGTTGTACATACACGTATAAAAGCCCAACGGTCACATTTTTTGCCTATGGAAAGGTTCAAAGGGCTCCAAAAACTATTCTTTTTCTTGATGAAAATTAAAACTTACTACATGGAATTTATTTTGTTAAATAATGAATTAGATTTCAAGTATATTTAATTAATGTAATGGAACAAAGTACACTGAGTATAGTGTAATTCATTAGATATTGAAACGCGCTTTTCTTCTCTAAGCTACTAATTGCAGTTGTTTGTAGCATGCTGGTTCTGACTGATGTTAAACTTCTGGTTGAAAAAAAAAAAAAATAGAGCAGTTCAGTATGGGCTTAAATATAACTTCACTT